CTTATTGTTCTGTCAAAGTGCAGGTAACATTTTTGTTTTTTTATTAAAAAATAAGTCATACTTACAATAAGCATCAAAATGTTGCTTTTTTTTAACCTTGTATCTGTATGTGCATCTTCACTGATTATGTTGAACTTGTAGAAGTACTGTCAACTAAAATACAAGGTCTACTTTTATATATTTATGAAATACGTATTGTTCCTAATATATATTAAAAAGTATCCTGTCTAAATCCTGCCGCTGTTAGCCAGACAGTAAAAACTTCTCCTTTTTAAAGTTTAACCACCGATACCGTATATTTTGTTATATTTGTCTTGAAAAATAAAGAAAAAAAATAAGCCAAATTTTAGTTACTAAATATGTTGATTTACAAGTGTAAGCAACATTTGGAACTTTATTGTTGCTTGAAATAAACATATTCTTTGCATTCTGTAGATATGTGTTTGAAATAGAAGCAGGTCATAGCAACTTAACAACTTGCTCACAATACTTCGCTCGCTTTCATATGTACAGTTGCAAAAACTTTCAATAAAAGATGCGAAAAAATTTTAAATTAACAACGACCATTGTAAAATTTCTTATCTTTTAATACTTATCTACCTTTGCAACCACTGTTTTTTCTTCTAGCTTTTTAGCAATTACGGAAATCGCCTACTGTATCGTGCTGAATAATACTGTAGAAACAGCTGCGTCCAGTTGTGGTTCGTTGCATTAAATATGTCAGAAATTGAGGAAATTGAATCTCGTGTACTGAATATATCAAAAAAAATAGCATCAATTGTTGATCCCGAAGAGTGGAATCTTCCAAACTGTTCAGCCACAGACAATTATTTCGAACAACCGCCAGCTAAAGTTTTTCTTAAAAGTTAGCTAGATACTGATTAACATTTTCTATTACAGTACAGAATTTTGAAACAGACATTAACCAAATGTTAATCAAACAATGAGAATTATTAATTAAATTACAGACTTAGAAACCAGTAAAACCATCTTACTTGCAATTGCAAGCGGAATCGAACTCCTCATATTGTTATTGACGTTCTTACAATGGTATCAAATTTGGAAAAAAGTATCAAGCGAACATCGGCAAGATAGATTATATTATTTGATCTCATTGTTTCCGGTATGTTGCCATTCTAACTTCATCCAAAAATCCTGTTTCTAATATTGTTGCATTTCTATTTAAAGTGCAATCTGACCAAAAATATTCTTACTCGTCCTACAAAAATCGGTTTGTAACAGACTGTTGCTACAAGAAATCCGTATGCCTCTAAGCTCTACTGCGAAAAATACTGGTGGTAATAAAACCCAATTAGCTTCTCATTATCCTTGTAGTAATTCTCCTAGTAATTAATTAGAATTTTAATGATGTGTGGTAAAGTTTCTGGTCTTGCCTGAACACCAACTTTAGATTGTACTAAGAGAAATTTTTCTTGATTGGTTTTCCAAAACCAAATCTTACATTATATAGCCTACCTAACAATCCAAAATTTTTTTCATACGTCTAGATTCCAATTATGCTTGATTCCGCTAAACTTTTTAGGTGAATTTATAAATTCTAGAAAAACAGTGCACGAGAGGCTTTGAAAAAACTGTATAAACGTAACAGAAAACTAGCTATAAAAAAAGTATCAGACGGTAGAGAACAGTAAGAAAGATTGGTTTTAATGAAAAAGTTCTGCTAGCAAGGCTAACTATTGCTTACCACCAAAAAGGCAAAGCTTTACCAAGGAACATAAAGTAAACCTTCTGACAACGAAGTCAACAAACTGCGCTTTTTCAAGATTCTTTACCACTTAGGTGTTAGCTTAATATTGTTCACTTACTAGTCTTAGAGCTTCTAAGTAGGTAGCAAAAAACTGAAGCGAGCAAGGCTGTGTTAAAGATAGCACAGAGCACGATAATAAGGGTTCAGAAAGTTTCGCTACTCTTTATTGCGGTAACATGTTGTCGCTTGAGAAAAGTTCAGGGTGTCTAAAAAAAGATATTGAATTTGAGCAGAAACACGGCGTTAAACTGGCGTTATAACTGCATTCAGTTGTTGATATTTCATGCTAAAAATTTTAAAATAAACGTTTTTTTACAAGTTCATTCGAGTGCCAAACACTTTGTTTACCGTAACTGAGACTTGCTTTAAATGCTTTTTTTTACTATAAGACATAGTGTTAGCTTCATTAGCACTTTTTAATTAGCTTATAAATACTACGAAGAAAAAGAAATAATTAAGTTTCAAGTTTTAAGGTTTGAATTGGTTTTTGGCTCTTAAATATAAAAAATCACGAGGTAATTCTTTGTTCTCACTATTTTACGATGACATCGCTTCCATTTTTTTGTCTTTGAAATTGCCACAGTTAACTGCAATTTTAAGCTGTAATCATACTTGTTTTAAATATGCAAAATTTTTCTTTTTTTTTATCACATTTTTTACGTAAGTAATTATAAAATATTACTGAAAAACCTACACACATAATTTTTTATTTCACTTTTTCTCCCTTTCTCAAATCAAATTTAATTTCCTTGACGGCTTGTTCGGTTGCCACAACGATTTTATTTTGTTCATAGCACCACACAGCTTCATAACAACCTTTAGAGTTAGCATTATAATAAAACGTACGCTTTAATAATTAACCTATTAAAATTGTTAACACATACAAGTGTAGTCTACATTAAGCTGCTTTTTTTTCACACCATAAATCAAACGCCAGTCTATTGCTTTGAATCAAATTATTTCCGTTGTCAGTAATCCTTAAAGCTTTGCTAACGGTAAGCGGCATATAAACTGAAAAAAAGAAGTAAATCTAAAAAGAAAAACAAGCGTACTTTTTTAAATTTTTTGACGCTAAAACCGACGTTATTCGTATGTTGCTTAAGTGAAAAATTGCCCAAAAAAGGTGATTCTCTAAAAGCAGAATCTGTTTCGTCACTTTGCCTTTTTTTGCCTTCTTGTTTGACATCGGAAAAGAAATAATGTAGTAACACTTGGAAAAAATAGATTTTTTTTAGTAAGCCATTCTGTCGTTTTACACCACTTTTTATTTTATTTCATTCTTTTACTTTACTAATATTTTGAATGTCCCAAAAGTTTTTGGACTGCTTAGATGCAGCGATTAAATGTTTAAAACAAACTTTGACGGTATATATAACATGAAAAAGGACTGATATTATAGGTATATTTGTAAAAAAACTTATATTATCTCTGAACGTTTTTAATATTTGACTAATAGCTAGTCAAAACTATATTATTTCAACGATCATTTAGAAAAAGCATTATTTTTGAATCTACAAAAAAGTTAGTAACTCTATATGAAACAATCTGTACAATCACTTACTTTATAGTTCTTTTTACTTGGTGCTGTTTTTAATTTAATCCATTCTTTAAGTTTAATTAAACTATTTAAAGAATTTCTTTGCTTGAAAAATTTGATACGAAAAAAATTTTAGGTAGCGTCGTTATGCAGTTACATTGGCATGCTGGCTCCTCGGACAGCATTGGTGCTGAACTCAGTGGGAGTTCTATACGCGTTGATGTGTCTAGCGGTTTTGATCTCTCTCGTCAGACATCTGTTTGGAAGTCGCAAAGCATGTTCTACAGCACTAACCTATGATCAGAAACAAATCAACATTCAGAGTCCACCGTGCTGTTGCTGCTGCAAATTTTTACCAGAATTCGCAAGCACCGAGTAGGATTAATCTTTGTAATTAACAATAAAAAAAATTCTGTCTTCAACGCAACTAGAGCTGTTTTTGTAAGATTTTTTGACTATATCTAGAAGCAGAGAAAGCATGAAATTTTGTGAAATAAACAAACCATTGTTTTTGTTAGTACAAAAATGATGTTACTCCAGGAAAAATCTACGAAGATTAGAATGGTTGGTACTCCAAGCACCTGTAATTCGAGCCGCTGTTGTGGTTTTCAATATTGCTGCTGTTGCTGAGTATCGCGAACATTCACACGTGTTAGTCAGAAACTTAAATTTTTGGCAGTATTTTTTTACCATTTAGGACCGGGTACGAACGACATTGTGAGAGTCTACACAACGGCTTTGTCAAGTTAACTAAGAAAAGTTATATACATTGACAAAAATTTGAAACCTTGGCAAAAAAATCACCATTTCCTGGTTTTTTTTAATATTTTCAAATGGATGAATTACTAGAAATTATTCGCCTGATATAAATTTTTTTTTGAACTGTTTTTCAGGTTCCTACAAATTAGTGAGATAGCATCTATTGCTTCATTGTTATTTGCAATTTTTGGAACTCATACAATGGCACGACTTATCGGGGTAAGATTTAATACTGAAAAAGAGTTGCATAATTTATTTTAATCACATTTTATGATAAATTTATAAAAAAACTTTGA